GGGGCCCGCAAGCGGCCAGGCGCTCGGCCGTGCAGGGCGGGCAGCGGAACAGCACCTCGGCGCGCACCCCATGGCCACCGCCGCCCGCGCCCAGCAACAGCAGCAGCGACGGCAGGAGCAGCGGCAGCGCGGGGCAGCCCAGTTTCGGCAGCATGTTGGCGGTGGCGGGCGCTACAGCAGAGGGCGAGCGGGCAGGTGGCACGGCCCAGCAAGAGCGCGAGCCACCACCTTCGCTTCTTTCTCCTCCCCAGCCGCAGCAGGGTGCTAAAAAAGCCTGCTTCTCCCCGCCCCCTGCCTTCTCCCCTCCCCCTTGTGGAGACCACCCCCTTCCCCTGCACTCCTGCGGGCGGGCACGTGCGTGCGCACACGCCCACTCGCCCACCCCGCAGCGGTGCACGCCCGAGCCGGTGCCCCACTCCCCCCAGATCACGTCCCTCCACGCTTTTCCAGCTTGGGCTGCTCGACTCCAGAGAATAACTTGTTAAGCTTGGCTAGCACGAGGTTGGGAGCGGGGAAGAGCCGGTGCTTTTGTCTCCTTTCTTACTTCTTTTCGGAAGGACTTAGTTTGCGCGCTTCCCACGTGGCCGGCTCTGGGCTAACTGCTGGGGAAGCACGGAGGTACAGTCTTAACCTTCGGTAGATTTCAGGGTTCACACCAGCTCCTGCCATCCTCGGGGTATAGCTCACTGCTGTCGCGCTGCTTGGAACAATGACTTTGGGTGAGTCCTGAGAGGTTCAGACCGGCTAGACCAGCCTCGCCAAAAACAGCCCCTTTAGTGACCACTGCAACACCGAAGAACCCATAGTGCAATTTCTGGACCCTGAGAAACCTGCTCCCTTCCTCTCTGCTAACCCTGTCCTCCCAATAATCCTTTAGAGACATGGGCCACCATCCACAAATCCAGAGGCAAGTGTTGCTGGTGATGGCCCAGTACAGGCTGCTGCCGGGGTGAAAAGGTAAGATCAGACCCCGGATGTGAGAGAAAGATTGAGGTAGGGCCGGTTAAAGATCTCTCCATTAATGCAGTTGATGAGCATGGCTTCCATTGTTCTGCCTGATTTACTGAGTCATCTAGCCAAAAAGCCCTCAACCCCCATCATTCCAGGGTGGACATGGCCTTGATCACTCTGGGTTGTGACCACTCTTCTCAGGGAGATTCTTTCTGTAAGAGAGGGGCCTTTTAAACTCTCTTGGTCCAAATTTAAATTCCCAGTTCTTTCGGTGCCACCTTCTCCCACCAGACCTCTGCACCCCACTTTCCTAACTTTGGGGCTCAGAGCATGTTTGATTCAGTTCAGTAGATGCTTAATCATGTAACCACCTGGCCCTGAAGGTGAATTAGGCATCTCCAGGCGGGCAAGTTACTGATTTTAAGACATTAAGAAGGTAAGAGTTATAGGGGACAAAGGAATAACTGGCTGTCAGGCTGTGGGCAAGAGAACTAACTATTCCAGTGGCCAGGAGATGGGAATGCCGTTTCCCAGGTGAATCAGAACAAGAAGCCTGGAAATCCACCAAGAGGAAATAGAGGGGACGGCAAGGGCATCCCCAGCACAGGGACCTGCTGAAGCAAAGACGCAGAAATGGGAGAGGAAAGTAGGGGAGAGGAAAATCTATCCACTTGGGCACCGGAGGGGAGTCCAGGCAGACTGGCAGGAAATCCAGTTGACTCCTGTGGCGGTTTGCCTTAATTTGGTGAGCAGCAGGGAGATTGCTGGGCAGAATGAAATAGAGCTGGATCTCTGGAGCCATGCAGAGTGCAGATCTCACAGATAGGCCTGCTTGTTGGCCCCACCCCCAGAACTCCTTCAGAGAAGGAACAGGGTCAGGCCCTGTATGCCCAAGGAAATCTGATGCAGACAGCAAGTGTGAGCCACATGTGTGATTTTAAAGTTGCTAGTAGCCCCATCAAAACACAGTAAAAAGAAATAGGTGACACCCATTTAGTAATGTATTCTAACTCAGTCCATCCCAAATATGTATTATTCAATGAGTAATCAGTTTTAGAAATTACTAATGAAGAGACTTAACCATCTTTTTTGTACTGGATCCTCAAGCTCTGATGCGTATCTTATCCTTGGCACGTATTTCATTTCAAACTAGCCAGAACTCAAATGCTTGGTAACCACATGTCACGAGTAATTACAAAACCACACAGCACACCCCTGTGTTTAAGGTACAGTGCCCAGCACCTAGTAAGCCTGCAAGTATTTCCAAAAAATGGAAAATACTTACTCTAGGAATACTCTGGGCAGGGCCCCTGGTTCTCTTTCTAGCTCCACGGAAATGCCCACAGGTAGATGGAAGGTAATGATAAATCTATTAGAAAGCTAAACGAGGCCTTGATTCATTCATTCAGATGTATATCTTTTGAGATTCATTCTTTCTCCACTTCCCTTTAAGGATTTTGACTTTCTAAAGCCTGACATGGTGGTGCACACCTGTAATCCCAACACTCAGGAAGCTGAGGCAGGAGAATCTTTGTGAGTTCAAGACCAGCCTGCGCTATAAAGTGAGCTCAAGGCCAGTCTGAACTACATAATGAGACCCTGTCTCCAAAAGACAAAAAGGAAAAAAAAAAGATCTTGACTTTTTAGACCAAAACTGTGGAGATTAGCGGACAAGGTCATTCTGCTTAAAAATAAGTACTCAATGGAATTTCCCTTTCTGACGAGTCTCTGACCATGTCCTAGTTCTTTTCTCTTAGTTCCCAGGTTTGACCTTCCTCACCCCAAATACACAAATGTACTCCCCAACAACAGCCTCTTTAAATCCTTTCCTAACCCCAGTAAGTGTCAGAAAGACCTGCTGCCATGAGTGTTGAACCCTAGCACATCTTTTGCGAAATAAAAGGCATATCATGAATCCAGGGCCTTGCACTGAGCTACATTCCCAGCCCTTTTTATTTTTTTTTATTTTGAGGCAAGGTCTCAATAAATTGCCCAGGCTGAGCTTGGGCTTGAAATCTCCTGCCTCAATTTCCCGTTTAGCTGGGATTACAAGTATAAACCACTGCACCCAGTTTAAAAGTGCTTTTTAAAATGGAGTCAGGCAACCATTATGGAAGAAAGACCTTGTGCATCTCGAGCTGTTGCCTGGGAACCTGACATTTGTCGCCTCCACCATCTGACCACAGGTATCTGGAAGAACAGGACAGTTACTTTGTGTGTACAAGTTGAAGATGCATATCAAGAGGATTTATGCACTGTGGACTTTTTTGTTTTTTCTGCTAAGTGTTTACCTTCATTGCTTTATCCTCTATTAGTCACAGTCATGGTCTCAAGTCAGTCTCGGTCATGGATTGGTTATAAAGCACCTGTTCTTTCTCATCATTCACTAATTTGTGAGAGCACCACTTTCCATGCTTTCCTCCAAAAACTGATTCAGAGATCTCTGAACCTCTCTCTCCAGAACTGCAGTTCCTAAGGCCTCAGATACAACCCTTTTTACCCCTGCTTTTTAACTGATCGACCAGTCAGCTGAGGCCTGGCTAAGTGTGAGGGCTTGGCCACTTTGATCATTGCTGGAGGCCTAGCACCTCCACCAGTGCATGGCACACAGATGTTGAGTACCTATCTGTTGAGTGAACCCAAGTTTTCTGCTGCTGACCGCTTGCTTCACCCATTGCTCTGGAACATTCTTTCTGGAATTTCTCCTGAGTCCTCTGGAAAGGACATGTCCTTAGGATTGAGAGCCTCTCTGTGCTGGGCAGTGTGGATTGGTTGAGAGCCGGTGGCAGGTTGAGACTGGTCTGCTCCCTTCCTGTAATCCCTGCTTCTTTCCATTTGAACAATGATGCACGAACTCCACCCTCACATGGTTTGCTGTAACTACCACCTATACTATTATTTACACAAATTTTTAATGTAAGTCAATTCACTTTTTAACTTGAGGCTATTTTAAAAGCAAACTTTGTATCACTACCATAACTAGAAGCTCAGTATGAATGGCTACGTACAGATGATAACCATAAAAATAAACACAATAAGAACAAAACAATGGTGTTTGCTTAGAGCTGGATACTGTTGCCTACTAGAGCCTCTGAGCCTGGTATAACCTCTGGTTAAAAAAGATGAGCCAGCTCTGAGAGAAGTTGCAATGAACCAACCAGACCCCAACTCGGGTTTGTGCCACTAAGTCATCAGAAAAAGGGTGATACTTTTAAAAATGTTTCATTGGAATGTATTACATGCCAAAAGTATACATATCAATTTTACAGATTGGTCTTACCATTTAACTTGCACCCAGGTCAATAGAGAGAGCATTAATAGCGTGCAGAAACCAACCCCTTTCAAGTATCTTCCAGTCATTATCTACTATCTCAGCAAGAGTAAATATTGCCTGTACTTCCACTAACCTGGATGAACTGTGCCTGGTTTTGCATTTTCCCTAAATGAAAACATACAATATACAGTCTTTTTGTCTCTTGCCTTTTTTTTTTTTTGATCAGCATGATGAATATGAGGTCCACGCATACTCGTACATGTAGCTGTAGAAGCCTTTTCGTTAAAGGGCAGTGTTCCATCATGTGACTACACCACAGTTTACTCATTCATTTTATTGTCGGTGGACATATGGATAGCTTCCCAATTTTTACTATTATAAACACAGCTGCTACGAACTTCTCAGAACACGTCATTTGTTGAGCATGTGCATACATTTCTTTTGGGTCTACAGCTAGATGTGGGATTTCTGGGTCATGGAGTATGTGTATGTTCAACTCTAGCAGATAGCCAAAAGTTTGTCAAATGAATGTACAAATTTATACTCCTGTTTGCAGCATATGAAGGTTCCACTTGCTCCCTGTCATGTCACCAATTGGCATTTGCAGTCTTTTCTCAATTATACCTGTTTTGATGGAGATGCACTTATATGATCTCATGGTAATTTTATTCTGATGACTAATGAAATACAGTATGTTTTTATGTGATAGAATTAAAATAAGAGGAATTTTTAAAGGGAATCACATCATATAGTGCTATATAGTGTTACGGGTAGCACATGCAATTATCCTGTATGCACAAGTTGCACGTTTTTATTATAAGTCTTGTTTTAGTTGTAGTTGTTATTGTTTCAGGAAAAAGCCCAAAAGGATAAGAGGATACCTTGAGCAGAGAAGTGCCCTCTAGTCTACATATTCCCCTGGAATTGATTACAGACCAGCTGTCTCTGCCTTGGTGAGCCCTGAAACAAAATGAACAGAGGTGAGGACTTCCAGTTTTTCTGACTCAAGTCCTTGATTGGAAGCTGCATAAA